CCTGCGCCGCGCGCGCCGCCTTGGGCCGGCGCGCGCTCGATAGCGACCGCCGCCCGCCGGAGCCGCGGCCGCGGCGCGCGCATCCGGCGCCGGTATCGCACGCGTCGCGGGCCCAAAGGACGACGTGCTCGACCTGGGGAGCATCGGGGTGGGCACTTCCTGACTTTGCGAGTTCCCGCCCCGGTTCTGTTCCGCTCGTTTCCGCTCGTCCGTACACGAGCGATCATCCATCTTTCTGGGCGTTCTTGAAGCGTGGACGCGTGTCTCCCGACGATCGATCGCGGCGTGCTCGAGTCGGAGCGGCGTGGGCGCGCGCGTCTCGGGCGCCGCGGCCGGCCTTGTACGGGTGATGCTTGAGCGTGCAGACGGGGACGAGGTCCTCGGCGCCGCCGGCCGCGCCCGGGTCAGCCGTCGCGCCGTAGCTCTCCGTCACGTGCCTGGGCGACGCGGGGTGCCCGACGCCCCAGGCCCCGCGCGCGGTCGCGCCCCGCGCGGGCGGCGGCGCGCCCCACGGCGACCGCGGGGCCGGGTTGCGGCGTCGGCCCGCGTCGGCGCCGGGTGCGCACGGCACGGCCGGCTGCACGGACCCGGCGGCGCCGAGGGTCCCGCAGTCGACGAGGGGCAAGGTTCGCGCGACGCAGATGCCGTCGACGAAGAGCCGCGCCTCGACGCTGTCGAGCGCCGTAAAGACGAGGTCGACACCGGCCCAGAAGTCATCGTCGAAGATGTCGCCTGCCGCGGCGCTCGGGGGGGGGGGGGTCGACGCCGGGTCGCGCCGACGGTCGTCGCGTCGACGCGGTGCGGGAACCTGCGTCGAGACGGAGCGGTACGCCAAGGCCAAACGTCGCGACGCTCGAGCTCGGCCTCATCGAGGGCGCGTCGGCTGAGGTTCGGACGAGCGATGTCCCTCCGTCGCGCTCTCGAAAGGCGGCCGAAGGGCGTCGCCCCGGGCGCGCGCGCCGCCTCGCGTCGAAGCTTCGCGTTCCGCGCGGGCGGGGGCGCGACGACGTCGACGTCGTCGTTGAAGCGCCGTGCGGCAGCGGCGGCCGTCGTCGCCTTGTTCGCGCCGATGTCGCCGGGCCGGTAGAGGAACTGGCGGCTCAGATTCGAGACCTCGATGGCGTCGTCGTCGGCGACGAGCACGCGCCGCACGCCGAGGAGCGCGAGGTTCTTGAGGATCTCGCAGCCCGTCGCGCCTGCCCCGAACACGACCAGCGAGTCGGGCTCGTCCGGCCACCCTTCGGAACTCTCCGGCTCGGTCGAATCGAAGCGGTCTCGGCCGACGTTCGGACGAGCGGCCTTCTTCCGTCGAGTCCTCGACGGATCGCCGAGATGGCCCCTCGAAACCGTTCGATGCCGCTCACGTCGAAAATGCGTCGAATCATTGGTTTCCCGCCCAGCGTCGCGCCCGCGCCGACGACGAAGACTGTCGCGCGCTGGAGCCGCCGGAGGCCCTCGTTGCCAAAGGCGGCCCGCGCCGCGGCGTAGCGGTCCGCGGCGCCCGGGCGCCCCCCCGGCGGCGGCACCGGCGCGGCTGCGGCCGCGACGAGGAACTGCGCGTCCGCCGGGCCGCCGAGCGCGCCGCCGGCGAGCGCCTTGAGCGCGTCGTGCGCCGCTGCGCCGGCGGCGACGGCAGCGGCGCAGCCCAGGGCCGGCGCGGCCGGGCCACCACCCCGCTCCGGGACCATCGCGCGCACGGCGGCGAAGGGCCGCCCACCTCCATCGACGCACGCGGCCGGCGCGCGCGCCGCGAGCACGGCCGCGAGCGGCCGCTGCGCGACCGGTCGCGCGGCCGGCGCGACCTCCGCGACGTAGCGCGCGCCGGCGTCGAGGGAGGCTCCAGGCGGCACCGCCGCCGTCAGCACCGACGGCGACTCGACGTTTACGACCGCGAGCGTCGCCGCGGCCACGCCGCGCGCGCCGGAGCGCAGCACGAGCGCGTCGCCCTCGGCGGCGTCGTGCCGCTCGCCGCCAGCCGTCGCGACAACGACGGTGCCGGCGGCGTCGCCGGCTGCGAGCGGTTCGAGGAGCTTCGGCTCCGCGGCGGACCCGCCTGCGGCGGCGGCGCGCCGTCGGCGCGCGGGCGCCGCGCGCGGCGGCGCCGCGGGGCTCGCGAAGCTCGCGGCCGACGGCGCGGAAGCCGTCGCCGAAGTCGTCGAAGACGAAGAACTCGGCGCCGGCGCACACGGCCCAGACGAGAGCCGTGCGCGACGGCGACCTGCGGCGACGGCGCGGTCGCGATCGCGGTCGCGGATCGCGGCCGCGGCGGAGCGGCGCGGCGGCGCCGGCGGCCGCCGGCGGCACGCGACGTCGAGCGTCGTCGCCTGCGGACGACGCGCTTCGCCTGCCCCCCCCCCACCCCGGCCCCCGTCAGCCCCCTCGCGCGCGCGCGCGCCGACGCCGGCCGCCGCGTCGTCCGCGCCGCCTGCGCCGGACGCGACCGGTGAGCTTTGCGCGTCCGGCCGAGCTTCGATCCTCTCGAGCTCGGTCGAATCGAAACCGCTTCGGCCGATTCCGGGCCTCCCCGTCTTCTCCCAGGTCGCGTTCGACGGAGGGCCAAGAAATCCTGTCGAAACGGGCCACGCGCGCCGGCGTCGAAGCCGCCTCGAAGATTCGGGTTCCGCCCGGCGCGCCGCAGCCGCAGCAGACGACGGCGTCGAAGTCGCCGCGCGCGACGCGCGCAGCGAGCGCATCGAGGCCCTCGTCGCTCGTCGCCTGCGCGCGCGCGCGTCAGATGATCGGTCCGCGCCGCGCGCGCGGACGCCGCCGCGCGACGACGGCGCACCGCGAGCTGAGCTCGGCGGCGCCGGCGGCCGTCGCCGCCGCGCGCGACCTCGCGGGCGCGCGCGACGCGTAGAAGTGCGCGCCGAGGTCGGCTGCGGCGCGCGGCGCGCGCGCGTCGCCCGCGACGGTGATCGACGCCACGCCCGCGAGCGCCAGATTCTTGCACACCTCCGCGCCGACGCCGTCGGCGCCGAAGACGAGGACCCGGCCGGCCATGATCTTCTCCTGGGCGCCGCGCCCGAAGGTGAGCAGCTGGCGGCTGTAGAGCTGATCGCCGCCCTTGGCGGCCGCGGCCACACAGGCCATGCAAATCACGCAGCCGAACATGAGCAAGCCCAATTCGGTAGCTGTCGCCCGACGGACCGCAGTGAACTATCGACGACGGACTGTCGCACACGTATCTTGGTCGTGCATGTACGGAGGTGCCAATTGGGATGCGCCGACGCTTGCAAAACCACGATTTTCGACGAAAAATGATGGTTCGACGATCGATTTGCGCTTCCAACGCACGGACTCGGGGCTCGTGCGAAAATGAGCTCATTTCCTGACTTTCGATTTTTTGGCGGAGCACACGACGAAAAAAAGCTCGAGCGACGGGGCGAAGGCAGCTTTTTTCGCAGCGCTTCGTCGCATCGTGCGCGCGGTGCGTACGGCGCTCGACTTCATGCGACAGCGGCGATCAAGTTGCCAAGTATCGGCATCGAGCATCGACGCTGAAGTCGGCAAGTATCGCCCTGAATATCGCTCCCTATCGATTATCGACGTGCTATTTTTGGGTTCGGCGGCTGAATATCGGCTGAATATCGGCTCAGTGTCGCTGAGTATCGGCTGAATATCGCTGAATATCGGCTGAATCATGATGTCGCTCCCTATTGGTCTATCGATTCGAAGGAGGCCTCGAAAGGGGCCGGCGCGGCGGCAAATATCGCCGATTCTATCGCTCCGGAAAAGCCGGCAAGTATCGGGGCGTTGGAATGGTTGCTTGTCGCTCTTGGTTGCATGCGCGACGCAAAGCAGCTATCGGCAGCTGGAGGGCTGCTCGGCCACGACCTCCACTCGGTTGAAATTTATGATCGAGCGTCAAAACCACCAGTTTGCTCGAGTTCGAGATCCAAACTGGTCGATAGAGCCAAAACAAGCATATTCCCGGTGGAATCGAGTGGTCTCCAGCGGCTCCAGGGGCAGTATAGTGAACTTGGATAAGAGATCTATCTGAATTGAGTAGCTTCCGAGTCGTGATTCCCCATCATCCCCGTAATTTACATTACCCTGTTCCCTCTCTATCGCGACGTCACACTATGGAGATGACACTGCACTTCCCCGTAACGTTGACATCAACGTTCCTTAGTACCCTAGTTTGGGGTATCTCTCTCTAGAGGAGGCTGCCGCCACGCGGAGGGACCCCCACCGCGGAGCGACGCGCGGCCGCCGCGCGGAACGCGATCATCGAGTGGTCGGATTGGACATCGGACTCCCATCCAACGCGTCGGACTCGTCTTAGAACGCGTCACTACGGGTGGTTCCTACGGAAGCCACGCTACTGGGGGACCCTCCGCAGAGCCGGATTCCTGAATCCGGCGCTCATACCACTCAGAGCTAGCGCTGCATTCTCGTGACACTGGATACGCTGGATACGCTGGATATATTTCGCGTGCGTGCGTCCGGATGGCGGCGTCTCCCAGGCCGGCGGGGGGCGAGCGGCGCGCGGCGGCGGGCGTCGCGCTGGGCCTGGCCGGAGCGGCCCTCGGCGTGTCCCTCGTACGGGCCGCCGCGGGCGCCCAGCGCCTCGAGGTCGCATCGCTCGCCGCCGGCGCCTCTGGGAGCGTCGGCGCGCGCCGGGGCGCGGCGCGGTCCCTGTGCCTCGACTACTGCGCGGGCGTTGGGTCCCGGGATGCGGCGTGCGACATCTGCGCCGTCGCGTCTTTCGTGCACCTCCACAACGCGTACGAGGACGCGGCGGGCAAGCCCCTCGGGGAGGGCTACTACCCGTACGAGTACCTCGCCGAGGTGTGGCAGCCGACGGTCTTCGAGGTGGACGATGCCGTCGTCGGCGCGGCCTTCCTGCGGCGCGTGGCGTCGGCGGCTTGGGTCGTCGGCGGCGGCGCCGCGGACGTCGCCGCGAACGGCACCGCGGCGAGCGTGACGCCGCTGGCCGCGCGGGCCACGCCTCGCGCGCCTTCCAACGTCGACGCGCGGCGGCCGCCCCGGCCGCGCCGCCGCCGCGGACGAGAGATGGTCGCACGATTGGCTGGGGCGTGCTGCGGCTGCGCGTGGGGGGCCAACGCCGCGCCGCGCGCAGGTTCTCAGCGCCGGGCGCCTACAATGCGTCACTGGCTCTCGAGGTCCGGGCCCGGGGCGGCGCGATCTACGCCTACGCCTACGCCTTCGACGTCACCGTGAAGCACGTGCGGCGCGAGATCCGCCGGCTTACGGACGCGGACCGGGGCCGGTTCCTCGACGCGCTCCAGCTCATGTACAGCACGCCCCAGGACGTCGGCGAGGCGCTTTACGGGCCCAAGTTCAAGAGCGGCAACTACCTCGTCCGCAAGCACCTCTACGGCGCCGCGTCGAAGGACTGCGACCATTGGCACGACGACGCGGGCGTCGCCCCGCGCCGGAAATGACCGGCGAGCCGGACCCGTCCGGCCTGACTCCAATTCAATCCCCTCGAGCTTCGTCGACGTCGCTTCGGCCGATATCTGGACGAGCGATCTGCTCTCGCCCACCTCTCGAAGAAGAGCGGGATGCCGAAGCGATGCAGAGAGAGTCTTGCGCGGAAGCCGAGGAAAATCGTCCGTGCGGGGCCCAGGCATCGTCACGCACCACCTCGCGTACACGCTCGAGGCGGAGCAGTCGCTCCAGGCCATCCACCCCGCGGTTTCCATCCCCTATTGGGACTACACCATCGACGCTTACTATTACAATACGACGACGACGACGACCGGCGCGGGCTGCGGCGCGGGCTGCTGGGGCGACGAGTGGACCGAGAGCGCACTCTTCCGCGACGACTGGTTCGGCCCCGTGGCGAACGCGACGACGCGCTACGTCGTCGCGAGCGGCCGCTGGAGCCACATGCCCGTGCTCACGGATGCCTGGGGCTACAGCGACATCGTCTCCCCCTACGGCTACCTCCGGTCGCCGTGGAACTGCAACCCGAACCCGTTCCTCTCGCGGTCGCGAGAGGTCCTCGGCTCGCGGGACGTGGCGCAGTACCCAGATTGCGCCGAGTTCTACACCGCCTTCAACTCAAGCGACATCGGCGCTCTCTTCTCCTACTTCAACGGCAACCTCCACGGGCCCATGCACATCCTCACTGGCGGCCTCTGGGGCGACGACCCGAAGAAGGAGCGGGACCTCGACCTCTGGTTCGAGGACGAGCGCCATGTCACGGCCTACAAGGAGCTCCTCCCTAACGTCCTGCTTATGGCGAAGTTCCTCTGGCGCCAGGGCTACCTCACGTGCCCCACGTTTTGCTCGCGCGACGCCAGCGCAGCGGACTGCGCGTGCTCGTGCCCCGAGGACCTTCGCGCCGGCTGGGACTACGAGGAGTTCTGGCACCGCACGGGCCTCCGCAACGTCACGGACCGCACCTTCCACTTTGGCGACTGGAACATCCCCAGCCTCACGAAGGCCGTGTGCCACGTCGGCCACGTCGGCGACTCTTTCTCGTCGGCCGCATCACAGGACCCCATCTTCTGGGTCCTCCACCCCCTCGCCGACCGTTTTATCGCCTACCGCCGTCTCCTCACTCACGAGGGCCTCATGACCCTCGACGAGACGTGGGACTACGACCACGCGCGCATCGCCTCGGACACGCACAGCACGTGCGACTGGGCGGACGTCGATGCGGGCCTGTCCCTCCTGCCGACTTGCACGCCCGGCACTTGCGCGGGTCACAAGGAGGACGACCTCCTGCCGTTCACCGGGTTCCAGGGCACAGGCGACACGTACACGAACCGCGAGTTCTGGGACTACGTCTCGCCCCTCAACGAGCACCTCCCCTACACCTACGACACGTTCACCACCTGGCCCGCGTGCGAAGCCCAGGGCCTCTACTTCGCCGATTTTGACACGCGCCGCTAACTTGCATGGCCCCGACGCCCGGCGCCCTAGGTGAGACTCGTGTGGAGGTAATGATCAAACTGTTGGCATATTGTCCAGAGCAAAAATGGAGGAATTTGGAAGGCGTGTAGGGTCAGACACGAGGTGGGCACGCACCCGTGAGGGTGCAAGTGGGCACTGGCAGTTGCCAGTAGGGTATATGGAGGATGTTGTGGAAGAAGCCAGTGAAGGGTATGGCCGGAGGCATGAAGAACTTGAAAGCGACCAATCGCATGACGTGCTGCACGGTTATTAGTTATAAATATTTGAAATTAATTAGCGCAGGCGGCTTAAGTGGCGGCTTAAACGATGTTGGATCGATCTCTGACTCTGAGTTTGGTATGTGCGAGTCTCGAGGGGAGATTATGAGAGTACTTCGCAGTAGGAATTCGGGGTCGGACGTCCCGAAACTTCAGTCCATGCTCTGGGGGAATACGGAGAAACTGACATCCCTCATCCCCGCCCCTCAGCGCCGCGGGAGCGCCCGTTATGCGGCGGGAAAGATACAGTGTACGCTCTGCATGCTGGGTGTTGCTCTGCATGGACTCGGAGCGTGGCTCCCGAAAAGGACGCCCTGGCGGATCCTGTGGACCTTAGAGAGAACAACGCGGAGAAACCCGCCGGGAAACAGAGATTGACGCGCAGGTCCACCGGCAACCAGCCGCAATTTTTGTAACTTCGACGCTAGCCTAGCTGTCTGTTTGCAAATCGGAGGTATTGGTAGCCAGCTGGCGCGTGCCAGTTCCGCTGATGTGGCCGCGTCCTAGTTCCGCTGATGGCCTGGAATAGGAAGGCCGGGGGCTATGGTACTTCTCCTTCTTACACTGGCGACCTTCATCAGAGATGTTCTCGCGTACAGGTCTAGGGCCTTGGCGAGCGCTGTATCAGTCGAGTCCGCGCCCGAGTCGGCCTTGTATCGGCGAAGGGCGACCTCATGCTTGTGCGCCTCAGCCTTTAGGAGGAGGACAGAACTTCTCCGATGAACGGCTTCGCCTGTGGATTTGGCTCCCAGCTCCGCAGGATTCGAGATGAGGGGCGTGGCATTGATTTCTAGTACACATGGACCGGATTTGCCAGACTGGCCGACTCGCCGCGCAGTCTGGCGACGGACGCTGCTCTCTCGACGGAGAAGGAGCAGGGGCAAGGAACCAGTAGGGTTGATGTCATCACCGGTGCGTTGGTTGTGGAGTGTCGAGAGGCGAGCGACACGAGTGGCGCGAGCCCTCCTGCGCCGGTCCACGTCGATCTCCTGCCTTTGGCCCCCCATCGCATTGTCAGATGACAGCGGCAACGTGCCAAGCGGGTACGCGGCGAGAGTGGTGATGTGCGGTCGGTCTCTGGTGTTGGTCACGCGCCTACAAGCACAAAAGTTTCATCCAGGCGAGAGTCGTTCATGGGCATGGACGCAGTCAATCACATGCTCAATGATCTGCGCCAGCTGGTCCACTTCGCCGAATGCTTCGAGCCCGTCCAGGGTGCACCGTCCGAGGCCGCCACTCTCCCCTCGCGCGTATCATCGTCGCTGCTCACTTCAGCGTCTGACTCGCCCCCTTCGCGCAGCTCGCCGTCGCCGTCGACAGAGCCTTGCGATCGCGGTGAGTCAATGGCTGGATTGCTGTCGGTAGTTTCCTCAGCTGTGATAGCGAGCCGCAGCGGATCCCCCGCCTCGAGGCGGTTGAGCTCAGAGTCCCTCTTGTCGATGTTACAGGAAATTTTCTCCTCGTCCCGCACAATTGATATGGTGCCAGAGAGAACGTCTCCAGCGTGGTCACTCTGGAGTCCAACCTGCGATTTGCGCGCATCGACGGCGGCTCCTAAGCCGCGATCCTTGCGGAATTCCCGAAAGGCGGCATCGCCATCCATCTCCGCGAGCAGTGCGCTTTCGCTGGTCGCAGCGAGAGGTACTACGTCATCGAAGCTGGCGAAATTCCGACCACCGGGAAGGTCCTTCTTGCTCGCGAAGTCACGCTCGAGACTGGCCTCCTCGCCCTCGGCGTCGCGCAAGACATCACTGATTTGTTTGGTCTTTTCGACGTAGTCACTCCGTAGCTCTGTAAGAGCGCCATGCGCTAAAGCAGCCTCTCCGAGTTCCAATCCAATGGCCTCGATTGTCGTCACGATGTCCCGGCTCTTTCCCTCGAAGTGTTCCTGCCGGCTCCGGAGCGTAGATCGTCGCTCGTCGATCCTCTCCTGGGCCGTCGTTGGGCGGCTCCGGTGAGGTAGAGGCGATTCAGCATAGTCCCCGAAGTCGTCATCATCATTGTGGGGGTGATCGGTCCTCTCTTCAGGCTCGACAATTACACGCTCCAGCGCCGCAATCTGGTCATCGCTGATGCTCCCACCCTCGGCGATGACCGTCTCTAGCTGTCTGAGGGCATTATCGGCGTGTTTGATGTGCGCGATGCGTTTCTTGAGACGCTTCTGCTTCTTCTTGGCCTCGTCCTGGGCCTTCTTGAGCTCGTACTCGCGGTGTAAAATTGCCTTGAATTTTTCCTGGATCTCGCGGATCCGTGCAAGATATATGTCCTTGCGCGCCTTGAGATTTCGTTTCTTGCGCTCAAGTGCCCCTAGCCGCTTCGCGTACCGCGCTCTGTGTTTCGACACGTTAGACACTGTTGTGCGGTAGAACAACTTTTCCAAGAACAAACGGTACTCGACGGCGCTAATACCGTCGGTCCAGGTGTCAACCAATTCGAAAATGGATTTCTCAAACTGCTCAAAGCTCATGCCACCGGAGATGCCGACGTCCTTGACAAAGTCCGTTTCCACGATTTCTCGCACCTCCTTGTACTCAAAGTCACTTGGCGTGAAGATCGCCTTAGCAAACTTGAGGAAAGTTTCGATGCACTCGTTCTGGGGGACCATAATTAACGTCCGTGCATTTGAGGACGTCGGGCGATAGCTTGATAAGAGGTCACCGCGCGGGTTCTTCTTGGAGCCCTGTGCGGAGCCCCGCACAGGGCGTTCGTTTTCGCTGGCAGAGCGAGCAGCCAGTGTGGCCATTGCCGCGAAGACATAGCTCTCTGAATTCTCGACACGCCCGTCTGCGTCGACGACCGCCGGGAGGGGCGAAAACGGACGCCCTCGCAGTTGGCTCGAGGTGGGATGCTCCCCCTGGAGATCGTCCGGGATCGGATCGAACTGTTTCTTCAAGGGACTGGCTGTGTGCGTTTTCGGTGCAATTTGGGGCCCAAACGTGTCGAAGAACACTTTGATCCAACGCTGGACGACCAGGTCCGCACGAAGCGCCATCCGCCGGTGGTGATTTTTTTTCGAGTACAATCGCACATCCCCGTCGTCGCGCACCACAGACGACGACATTCCGTCTAACTCAAAGCCGTACATTTTCTCAGTGGAGACCAACCCGGCCTTGCCCATCACATCGCTACAATCCTGCACCCGCTCCAGGGAGGCCACGAAAACCGCCTCCGGGCCTAATTTTGCGACTCTAGCAGCCTCAGCGACGTCCTTCTTACTTGAGTGCTTACCCTGGCGGCCAATGTACCCCTTGTGCTTCTTCACTTTCTTCGCCATGCATGACATCGTCCCATCATCGACGACATTCTGTAATTAGATCTACTTAGGCCCAGTTTTTACATCGTCAAAAGTCAAGATCTGTGCAGTCCGCAAATCATGCGTTTTCGAGCTACAAAATACAAGAGGTATGCACAAACAACCTTAACCACTGTCATGCTGATCTGAGATGAGTGCTCTGAGAATGGGGTGAGGTAGTGGTGGTGGTGGTGGGGGTGGTACCCCTGGGGCCGCTGGAGACCACTCGAATCCACCGGAAATATGCTTGTTTTGGCTCTATCGACCAGTTTTGATCTCGAGCTTGAGCAAACTGGTGGTTTTGACGCTCGATCATAAATTTCGACCGTGTGGAGGTCATGGCCGAGCAGCCCTCCAGCTGCCGATCGGCCAGAACGGGTGGTTCACAGGCTTCGTTGACCCCATGTTGCAGCTGTTTTGACCACTCATTTTGAGCAAGTCGCGACACAAGACACCACACACACAGGAGCACCCTACCCTGCCTTCACCATCGGCCTTACCGAGCCTCTACCGGCTCTACTGGTCCTCTCACACATTCCTAACATACTCTGTGTCACTCTGGGTTATGGGCCCACTATGCGCTCCTGCGCGCGCGCCCGGCTAGCCGCCGGGCGCAGCCTGCTCGCGCGACACCCACCGGGTCCCTCGCGCAGCAACAGGGCGCTGCGAAGCGTCCTGCGGCACGGCAGCGCGGCGAGGCAGCCCGCGCCCCGCCGCGCAGCCCATTTTTCGCCGCGGCTCTGGCCGCGGCGGGGCGCGGCTCCTCCTGCCTTCCGGGGGAGTCGCGCGCGGCGCCCTTCGGCGTCGCAGGCCCGGAGCCACCTCCGGCGCCAAAACGACACGCGCGTCTTCCGAACGGACGAGAACGCGAACGAAGGGCATCGCGGACACGCGCCACCACGGCGCCCCGCCGCCCGCCCCCTCTGCGGCTCCTCCCTCCTCGCGGGGGAGTCGCCCCGCGGCGCCTCCTCGGCGTCGCGCTGGCTCGCCGCCGCCGCCGCCTTTCTGCGCGAACT